ACAGGGGAACTGCACAGAGCCCCCTGGCCCCTCAGTCTAGGAGCTGCAGGCACCCCCAAACTGCTGCTGGCTCAGTGACTGCCTGGCTTGGGCAGCCTGTGAGCCAGCCGCACCAGCTGCTACAAAAGTCATGGAGTCGGTGACAGACACACATCCTTACCTATAGTTACATTCAAGAATGTCTGCCACTGTTCCCATTGTGGTATACTTTCTAGATGGGAACAGAGCCAGAATCTGTCTGACCAATTCACGTCACCCACTTGACTGAAATTCTAACTTTTATTTATGCAGTTCTGTAAGCATGCAACAAATGTTCTTTAACAGGTATCTGCAGGTCATACAGGCCTCAACTGAATTTAGAGGTGGTATGGAGACCACATTTCTCTAAAGGTTGGTTTTTCCACTTAAAACTGGCTTGCAGGATTTTCTCTCCAACAAAAAAAACACCTGAGAATGTGCATTCTCAATTCTGTACTCACTGATTAGATTGAGCTAGAATTTAACATGGAGTTTTTAAAAAAAATCCACAAACACTTGTGGTCAGTCCAGAATGATTTAATGCCAAACTGTTTAAATTAATCTTGCAATAAAGGCTACATTTGAAGAAATTAAATTGCAATTGAATTAATTGCATCTTGTTTTAGTCTAAATAGGATTGGGTCAATAGTTTAAGTAACTCAGGCAGTCACAACCCTTCCTTTACAGGAAATTTGCATATTCAGGTTCTGTTGGTTGTAAACAGTCAGTAGGAAGAGAGACCAGGCATGTTAAGTTTCATGGGAAGAGGGCTTACAGCTCCTTAAGAGTTCCATGGCCAGATGTGAGCTTGAGCGTAAGTGTTTGAAAAACCCATCAGGACACTGGTGTCTTGAGATACCACTGCCAGGAGAGCCTTTAAAGCAGAAACATTGGGAGTGATCTCTAATATAGCCCTTCTTTCAGGCCCCACCCAAATCCTTGACCTCTCTGAAAAGGTCTTCCCTGTTATCCCTCCATGATACCTGCACAGCCCTGCTCTCATACCTCATGGCTTTCAGAGATAAATTTATGCCAGCTGGAAGATTCCACTTTCAGATGCTGGAAGTGGATTTGTAGTTTATATTTACTCACACATAATGGTTAGATTCACCACTGCACAGCAGCTACTTTGCATTGCTCAAGCAATGATTAGAAGCAACATACAGTATCCTTTAGGTTTTTTCTTTGACAAAACTTAAGTATGTAAACCAACATAAAAGGGGCAGGAAATTCAGATGTAATAAATCCAAACATGTTATGGAAATAATTAGGTACCCAGACATCAAGTCTGATCTATAGAGATATTAAAGTGTCTTTCATTTAAAAAAAAAAAAAAAAAAGAAAGAGGGTCTGAACACTAAAATATCTTTATCTTAACTCAGTTTCCTGAGTTTGTAATGCTCATTTCTGTATTCAGATGGAGAGGAAACCGTGACAAAGTATAGTACAAGAACAGCAAGGGGCCCACCCTACAGCTGTCCTAGATTATAAACTCAATATACAAAGTTTTCTAGGACTCCCTTCCCCATATTAAATGAATGGAGAAGTACACACCTAACTTTCCCCAAGCAAGATTAGAGAGACATTGTGCACTAGTTAACCTTCACCTATTTGAAGAATGAAATTACATCCTAAGTATAATGGTAGCATGGTCCAGGCTGTTAAGCTTGCAACTGGAAGTGCCACTGGAGTACTTCAGCCAAGCTTCCTTTTGGGTCATTCTACAATTTTAAATCCACACTACGAATCCTAAGTCCTCAGACAGTAGGTATCCCACTTAGCAAGGCAAGTACTGGCAAATGTATTTATGTGCAGGTTGTGTAAGTGATGTAACTACTGAACATCCATTTTAGCACATATACACAGTGTTTTAGACTGAATCTGGCTTGAAGCATAAAATCGTTAAGACAATATATTTATCTGCTGAAAGCACTTCATGAAAGCCATGTTGCATTTGAACTCTGCTTAGAAGAATATACTGCTTTTGTGAAATTAAAGGCTTGTGGGTCAACCCTTCCATTTCCAGTTTACTAGCTAATGAATTGTCATTAACTCAAAGGCCCTTTCTGCAACCTTAACACTAAGTAGTTTAAAGAATCTTCACCCAGGTTACATCAGATATAATACTGTGTGTTTTGGAAATGGATTACAAGTACATACATAGCAGCAAAATTCTGGTTGTTTGGCCATACAATGATGTTTTTGAAGGCAGAGGGACACTAGTACTCTTACCAGAGCTTTAAGAGTTGTGGGAGATACCAGTAATAACTGGAGGAGTGCACACATGGATAAGACATATCTTGTTCTAACTAAGCAATAAGTAGAAGCAGCAAGTACTGCTTTAAAAAGCGAACATATTATATAGAAATCTTTCCACCAACACAATTGCTTTTATAGGAACTAGTTCTAGGTCATGCTCCTAAAACAGTTTACAGAGCAAGCCACCAACATGACTAAATCCACTAGGTGTTCAAGACCTGCTTTCAAACTTTATAGTGCAGCTAGATAGTATGTGTAGTTAACATAAATCCCACTCAATGAACTAGAGTTAAGACTTTTTTTTTTTAAACTGCTGTACAATCAGCACTTAAGTGTTACTGACCAGATTCATTTCACCGTCAAGCACATTGTCACTTCAATGACTTATTACACAGGTGAGTGCTCTCTACTCCAAGTATTTGGATCTACTTAGAGGTTGGAAAATTGTCTGCCTTCATGTTTAAGTTAAAGGGAACAAACCACTTGCTTGATGAAGGCTTCAAGAGGTTCTTGCACTTCCAAGCAGTTGAAAATTAGCTAGTGCCCAGCCATCACTTGTGGCATACTCCACCACTGCACAACAGCTAAAAGCAGAGGGCCCTTCTTCGCTAGCAGTTACAGGTACTAAGAAATTCAAGTTTGGGTAATTCTGAACAAATAAAATTCTCTGAGATGAGATCCATGTGTGAAGTCAGTTTCTGTCTGGCTACTGAGATAAGAAGAGTGAGAAGCAAGAAATGGAGTGAAGCATCACTTGCGTAAACCAAGCCTGGTCAGAAGCAGCAAGACGGCTAGGCAGAGTATTTTAATTTCAGATTCTAAAAGTCCATGGGATGACTGAACCAACTCATGAAAGTTTCAAATAAGGCAACCCACTATAATTTATCTAGATACAGGTACTTTATTTACAAATATTTAGATTAATAGCATAGTTACACCAAATGAAGAGTACAGCAGTCCAAACAAGTCCTTTCTGTCACAGAAACAATGAGACCTACTGTAACTTACTTTGGGAATAAGGGCATTGCACCTCAACAAGCTGTAGTCATTAGAATGCTGTTTACTTCACCCAAATTTTGTTTCATCAGCAGGTCATGGTCCCTGGGCAACCCCTATGCGGCGCAACTTTGTTTTAGCAAAATGCATCAGCCATAAATTTTTAACATACCAATCTACTTTAATAATCTTAGGTTTAAAAAAAGACTAATCAGACAAAAACAAGGGACAGTGCACAAGTCACCCAAATCCTATTGTCTGCACATTTCAGTTTTGGCTTTTATTTAACATTGACTGTACAATACTCTGGTACCACTGTTTGCTTACAAGTCTGAACATTGGATAGTTTCTCTTAGTGTCTGTAGAGAGGGATTTTAAGACTACTTTGTATTTTAAACACTGCAGTTTGACTAAATATTGAATGAATGGTAGGTACAACAAAAGCATGTTCTATCTTTCTTAGCCACTTATTCTTTCCCCCTGCCACCTCTAAATCAAATCTGAAGTTTCAGAAATGAAAATTAGATTTCATGTGAAGCATGGTACTGTGTGTAGATTTAAATACACTGGTCTAACCAAATAGAAAATATCACATGTACTTTAACAGAGTCTGCATATGCCTGAATACTATTTGGACTCTCTGATTTTATAAAGAGTACTTTCAACGTGTAATTTCATGAAGGCAGTATTCTAAATGCTTTTATAGTAAGAGGGGACCCTAATTGTTTAAAAAAGGGTCACTGTAGTGTAAATAAAAATGCAAAAGTAGTTAAAAATCCCTAGAGTTCTGACTGTCCAGTTCAGAATCAGACCACTCCAAAAAAGGTATAAAAGCATAAAATGTGTAATAGAACCAGCCATTCTATACAATGCAAGGCAGGAAATTAAGCCCAATGCAAAATGCTTACAAAAAGAGAAAAGCAGGTTAGCACACTGTTGATTGCACAAAAACAGGGTTAATAAAGAGGCATAGATATACCACAGTGCAAAGATGGAACAAAGACAGATATTCCACTAGTGTTAATATTGTTGCATTGGGAGTCAAGTTCCCCAGCACAATGCCCACTGTTGACACCAAGGAGTTAAGCCTATGTTAGTGAACTGCAGTTACATCTATTTTTGTACTAAACGGGGCAATGTGGTCACATATAGATCATACTGTACAAACTGATATTTTCTTATATACTGTTCTAATGCCAGTAATCAATTTATTTTCTTCATTAAAATCATATACACAGAATGTATTTAACTGTTAGCTCAGTTCCTTCAAATTTTATACATATTTACGTTCTGTTAACAAATGTAAAGGATAAAATGGCAAAAAATGATGTAAAGCTACTGAGCACAAGAAGAAAGAGTGAACTGTTTTCCCTGTGCTAGGGTAAGACAGAAGAAGTAAGTTGTATACTCCTGCAACAAGCTATCCCACCAACATACACACCCGCCACAGGGAATTCCTCCAACAAAAGCACATTGTTATAGAACCCCTTTTCTACCATCAAGTCATTTCACAGCAAATAAACATCAGTTACTATGGACAGATTTAGAACAGTTACAGATGGGGAAGGAAGGCTGAAGAACCATAAAATTAAACCGTACAAGAAAAGGCCCTGCAAAAGTGTAAAATCATGAGTCCAGCATCAGTGCTCAGTTTAAATCATGTATTGGTGACACTATCACAAGGACAACTGGAAGGGAGGGGAAAAAAAAAAAAAAAAACTTCTAGATTTACCATGCAGGAGAGGTTTTATTACTCTACTTGCCTTTGATAACCTGATTACATCTAAAGTTGTTTAGCAGTTTAGTATTGTGTTAAACTGTTGTCTCAGAGTTTAATTAAACCCAGTAAGATGTACAGAAGACAATGAAGCAGTCAAAAGTACTGCTTCCAACAGAGGCGAAAGGTCAAAAATGGAGCCATGGAATAGAGGTCACTAGCAGCCACAGCCTTCTCTCTGGGGCTGGGGTTCACTGGTTAGTCGACCCCCCTGTGGAGCTGAAGGTTTGTGTTGTACACCTGACTCTGCAGCATTCAGATCCAGGCTTCCATCTTGGATATTCTGGTAGATTTTCTTGGCAGCCTCCAGGAATGCATCTTCAACATTCTCTCCTCTTCAAAAGAAGCAGCAAAATTAATTCAAGTTGTGCACTACATTACATTCTAGACTGAATGAGAAGTCATGAACGTGCTTGGCCTACCATCCACCTCTTCCAGTCACTAGCTGAGATTTTCTAATAGTAGCAATTGTGCATTGATTATATGTTCTGTAAGAACATATAAAAAAAAAAGACACAAAGCTGGGTACAGTCCAATGTTCCCCACCTGAAGCAGCTATCCCCTCAGAAGATTTTGAAAAAGTAAACTACCTAATAAAGTCTTTTACAGATTACCAGGCAACGGGGACAGTTTTTAGATGCTATCTCCAGCTTTAGGGGGAAGAATCGAATCTGTCAGTTCACCCTTAAAGTAGATTAGCAATTAGTACTGTTGGACTTCAAAATACATCAGTTTTAAAATAGGCTACACAACACCACAACAGAGATGGGCTCCCCCCAAAGCATTTTCATATAATCGTTTTGACGGTTATAATAAAAGGCACAATAATGAAGATCTGTGGTGGTAACTTGCATCAACTGTTCTATTAGTTTCTGTAAATCTTTCTAAGTTAGGGTTTACTTGCTTTTTGGGTTTGCATTATCTACCATAGCACCTTTACAGCTATCCTGTTGCATAGCACTCATCTTTGTGAGAGGATATCACAGTTGGTCTCAGTACTAGCAGCTACAGATGGGCAAAGAACTGTAGTTCTGATTTGGAGGATTTTGAGATTTCAGAATTCGGTTTCATTCTAATTCAAAAGAAAGAAGTTTCAAAATTCTCAGCAAAACAGAATTATTTGTTCTCTGCCCAGTTCTACCAGCAGACCTGGCACTGGAGCAGCGTGCCTGATCACCTACACTGCAGTGGGGGACCCTGGTAGCCCAGGTTGCCATGCTGTAAGCCTGAAGCTGTTCTCCCCAGCAGGCAGGATTTCCAGGTGAATTCTGGAAAAACAGACAATATCCACAAAACGTTACAATTCTGACAAAACAGCAAGTTGCAATGAACGAGTAAGTTTTCCAACCAGCTCCATTAGCAACTGCTAGAGAAGTTTTACCAGTGTGTACGCAGTCTAGCATAAAGCCCTTATAATCTGTACAGTGACATGCTATTAGTGAAGCGTATGAATTAAAAAAAAAAGACTATACTTGTAGTGCTGAAAGGTGCTATGGTAGGCTACGGTAGGTCTAGAGTGTTGCTAGACTTGCCGCACTGAGAGAACACAAATATATAGGTCAAGTGGATCTCATAATTCCTATAAAAATAAATCATAGAAGTCACATAAATGTAGAACTGGACCTTGCTATGTTATCTAGTTCAGTCCCCTGCACTGAGACAAGATTAAGTATTATCTAGACCAGGCGTGGGCAAACTTTTTGGCCCGAGGGCCACATCGGGGTTGCACAACTGTATGGAGGGCTGGGTAGGAAAGGCTGTGCCCCCCAAAGAGCCTGGCCCCCACCCCCTCTCACTTCCCACCCCCTGACTGCCCCCCTCAGAACCTGCACCCCCATCTAACCCCCTTGCTCCCTGTCTCCTGACTGCCCTGACCCTTATCCACACCCCTGTCCCGACAGCCCCCCCCCTCAACACTCCCACCCCCTATCCAACTGCCCTCTGCTCCTCATCCCCTGTCCACCCCCTCCCGGGACTCCCTGCCCCTAACTGCCCCCTGGGATACCACCCCAACCCCCCCGCTCCCTGTCCTGACCCCTATCCACATCACTGCCCCCAATAGGCCCCCCCGGGACTCCCACTCCCAACCTTCCCTGTTCCCCATCCCCTGACTGCCCCCTCCTCCCTGACTGTCCCCCAGGACCCTCCGCTCCCTTACCCAACCCCCCCCCCCCCCCCCCCCTCACCCCCCGCACACCCCCGCCGCCCCGCCCCCCCCCCACAGGCAGCTCCGCCCCCCACCCTGCCCAGCGGGAGTGGTGGGCCAGAGCCCTGCCTGCGCAGCAGCATAGCTACGGGGCAGGGAGGATAGCGGGGGACTAGGCTCCCCAGGCGGGAGTTCAGGGGCCGGGCAGGACAGTCCCACGGGCCGTAGTTTGCCCACATCTGATCTAGACCATCGCTGACAGGTGACTAACCTGTTCTTAAAAGCCTTCAATAAGGGAGATTCCACAACCTCCCTAGGTAATTTGTTCCAGAGCTTAACTACCCTGACAGTTAGGAAGTTTTTCTTAACGTCTAACCTAAATCGCCCTTGTTACAATTTAAGCCCATTGCTTCTTGTCCTGTCCTCGGTGGTTAAGGGGAACAATTTGTCACCCTCCTCTTTTGGGGAGGTCAAAAGGAAACTCCCTACAGCAGCTTCTGGAATTGCAACACCCCAATCCAGCAATAGCACCTGTCATGCAGCTGCATAGCCTTGTACAGGTGCAAGTGCTCTGAACACTCCATACAGGAGAAGTTTCACACTTCAAGTCTGAACTCCGACCACCACAGGACTAGCAGTGTCATTAAAATGAGGAAGCTGCACAGTCTATTAGACCAGCATAATTTAATTTTACAGTCAGTTTGCAGCTTAAAGCACACATAAGAAAGTGCTCCATTTTATCAGTGCAACTCTGATGGAGGAAGTGTTGCATGAGGTCTTAAGTGAAATTAGTTTAGTAGTTTCAGTTTCCAATTGGAAGTTTTTTGTTGTTGTTTGTTCTTTTTTTTTTTTATTAAAGAAATGTCAGCCCATCACAATTCAGCAACTATTTGCTTGGAAGATGGCCCAAAAGTGGAGTAACAAGATGGTTGCTGCAAGTTAAGGTTAAGATGAAGCAAAAATGCTAGGCATGCTCTATTCCCCCCCAATCTCCTGATGATATTTTTACTGCAATCTAACCTGAGAAATCAAGTTCACTTTCACCCACAGACTAAGTCCCTCTATGAAAACGTATACTAAACTTAAGACTGTCTCTATGGGAAGTGTGGTCTTTTTGTTTAAAGAGATAGGCCTATTATCACTTACGTTTTTGCACTTGCTTCAAGGAACAATAACCCTATTTAGAAATAAAATTGAAATGGTTAGGATACATGAAATACTTCAAGAGAACCATATCGTAGTCACTGAAGTTTGACTCCTGAGATAAACAGGTGAGGGCCCACGGAAATTCCATGCTAAATAATACTTTTGAAAGTATTTAAGGTTTGTTTGTTTTAAGTAGGACATCAATATGCAAATTGCATTCCTAGTTCTAAGGTAGGCTGAGTTAGACTATTTGAGGCAAAGTTTTTATATACAACTAAGTTACTTTGAAAAAAGTGTGCTTTAAACAGCTTCCAGATACTAATTCAGAAGGTTCACTTTAAAACCTCTAACCTCACTGAAACATAACAGCACAAAAGAAAAGCAAAAACACACACACCATTTTCTTCTGCAAATTGTTTGGCTTCTTCATATGTAACATCTCTCTGTGCTTCCAGATCTGCTTTATTTCCTATGAGGATTATCACCTGGTTCAGAACAGAAAAATGTTAGCCTGGAAAATAGTTCAACTGCCTTTTTACCCCCACCCCAAATCAAGTTACTATTAAACAAAGGCATGAAATTAGAATAATGGCAGCTCTCTCACACAAACCCCGCCCATGATAAATATCTCTGGGCACATCTTCACTGGCAGCGCTTTAGCATGGCTTGTGTAGTCGCAGAATAGCACTGGGAGAGAGCTCTCCCAGCGCTCTTTTTAAAAAAAAAAAAAAAAAACCCACCTCCATGAGGGGAATAGCTCCCAGTGCTGGTGCACTGTCTACACTGGCACTTTGCAGTGCTGAAACTTGCATTGCTGGGGGGGGGGGGGTGTTTTTTCACACCCCTGAGCAAGAAAGTTGAAGCACTGTAAAGTGCCAGTGTAGACAAGCCCTAAGATAGCCAGCTAAGCAGCAGGAAGTGCACCTCCTCCTCCCTCCCCCCCCCCCCCCCCCCCCCCCCCCCCCACCCCCACCACCACCACCACCAGGGAAGAGGAAGTTAATACAAACTCTCCCAGATCAGAGGGTCTGCAGATGTCCAGGACCTCTGCAAGCTTTCACACAGCATTGCTACCGCTGTCCGTCCCTAAACTATGAGCATTCCCTCCCCCTAAAAACAAGCAGACCCATTCATTTGATAGACAAGATTCAGTAAAACTGAAGACGCTGCCCAGAAGTTTAAATGACAGGTCACCCATGCACAGTCCCTTACTCTAGCAAGTAGGGCAGACTAGGGATAGTATTTTGTTTCTCTAGCAACATCTTCACCACGAAGACAGGAATGATAGGAACTCCAGATGCCACATTCAACCCTTCTCCACTATAGGATTCCAATGGCCTGAGGGCTTGTGAAAAATACAGTTTTATTCTAAAACGTGACTATATCAAAGCAGTCCTATCTCATATCTACCTCATGTGTATTCAGAGTCATCACCTGATTTGACTTGAATGCTCATTTAAAAAAAAAAACAAAACACAAACATTGCAGAGGCAACACAAGAGTAGGAAAGGGATTGTTCTGCAGTCAGAAATGCACTAACTGAAAGAACACAGCTTTACTCTCAGAGTCAGACAAATATGAAGTCTTAGGTCTTGTCTACACTACTAACCGGATCGACGGGCAGCGATCGATCCAGTGGGGGTTGATTTCTCGTGTCTAGTATAGATCGCTCTAGCGTCGACTTTGGTACTCCATCTCAATGAGAAGCACAAGGGGAATTGACAGGAGAGCGTCTCCCGTTGACACACCGCAGTGAAGACACCGTGTTAAGTAGATCTAGGTATGTCGACTTCCGCTAAGTTATTCACGGAGCTGAAGTTGTGCAACTTAGATAGATCACCCCCCGTAGTGTAGACCAGCCCTTACAAAGCGTTTTAATTAGTGAGAGACGTAAGATTAGAACCACACTACAGGAGCTGGGAAAGTCTTTTGGCCTCCAAGAGGGGCAAAGACGACCCTGGGAGAAAGACATTGGGTAGTTTCTTTGGATAAGATTTAAACCCATGTTCAAATTTTGAGAAGAACAAAATAAGTTTTTACTAAGTAAAGGACAAGTTAAACTTTCAGTTTAAAAGCAACAAGTTGGGGTGAGAAAAGGGTCAGAAGACAGTCAAATGTATGTTCAATATTAAGGTCTAAAGCTAGGAGTAGAAAAACCTGGAATAAACTCATAGCATGCCATATATCAAGGACAGCACATTGTAAGCTTATTTAAAAGAATATTACCATGTATCAAGGAAATACATTTCAGTTTCAACCTTGGATTTCTTGCTTTGGGACAAGAAGTTTTTAAAAAACATAAAAAGCAGTACAACTTACAGTATTTGGATTGGTGAGGTTCCTTGCATCTGTCAACCAGCTGCTTAAATGGTTATATGTGCTTCTTCTGTGAAGAGTCAAGTGAGGAGAATTTAACTATAGTATGTAGTTACTCCCAATAGTACCACTTTTCAGAATGTTAATGTTTAAAATAGATTTGTCCCAGAGTTGAAGTGATAAGTTCTATTCTGAATTCAGAACAGAACTGAAGCAACTCAGCCACCCCAGGAGACTAGGCTAACACTACTTCACAGATGCAGTATTACTGCTTTCCATGAGGGGAACATGTTAAGACACAGTGTTGTATAAAACTCAGTAAAGGATTTCCGATCTAATACTCAAAGAATACTGCTTAGGTAACACTGCATAAGATGTGTTCTTTAAGAAAGACTTATTTCCAGCAAATTAGGGTGCATACAGAAGTGTGCATGAGATGGAAAGAGAAAGTATAAGGTGGCAGAAAAACTGAACACTAAACCACACACTTAAGGTCAAGGATGTGCCTTCAACTGTGCCCCAAACGTATGAGGATTTATATTGTGCTTAGAGAACGTTCTTAGCTTAGAAAACGGGCAATACCTTCAGGTTGCTTTTTTTCCCTAAGCCATCAAGTCTCACTGATCATTCTGTATTAACCATTCCTTTAAAAACCAATAATTAAAATATTTACTGTTATCTGACTGTATAGTCTTCAGCAGATCAATAGCTGAGCTTGCTCAAATGAAGAGAATTTGAATTGACAAGGTGGGTGAGGGAATATCTTTTATTGGACCAACTTCCATGAGAGAGACAAGCTTTAAAGCCACACAGAGCTCTTCTTCAAGTCTGGGAAAGGTACTCCCAGCAGCACCACTAAACCCAAGGTGCAACAGATTGTTTATCATAAGTAATTAGCACATATTCCAAGGGGCCATTCAAGGTGAAGTGGCTCGTTAACACCTCCACACTCTTGTGGCAGTAGAGATATATCTGCAAGTTTTGCATCTTTTCTAGCAGGGTCTGGTGCCTCTTTGAGTTGGTATGTCCTGGTCTGTGGGGAACCTGGATTGCAAGTGGAATCAAAGCCATGAAATGACAATGACCTCCTTTGAGGGAACCTAATTGGTGTATGCCTGCATCCCTGCAGGGAATAAGCAGATTTTTGTATGCTTTGCTATGCTTTTGTATTTTGGAAAGAACTCAAAAGTTCTTCTTACCCTGTGAATAGCCTATAAACCAGTGGTCCCCAACCTTTTTTAATCTGGCGGGTGCCAGATGACGAGTCACGGAGGACCGTGGCGGCGGACAAGCATCCGCCCAAATGCCGCTGAGAAGCAGCGTCATCCAGAGGCGGTGCTGCCGATTTTCGGCGGCACCGCCTCTGGATGTCACTGCTTCTCGGCGGATGCTCATCCGCCGGCCAGTACGCAGGCGCACTTAGATGCCCCGGTGGGCACCACGGTGCCCGCGGGCACCGCATTGGGGACCCCTGCTATAAACTATTTCATAAAGAATGACGACAGTAAGAAAACATCTTGCATTCCCATAGCTCCTTTTAGAGGCTATCAGACGCGTGCTGAGTATCCTCTAATAATTTCTACAGGGCAATGCAACTTAGTTTCAAATGCAGCTTCTCCATGCATTGTATAATTTTATTCATGGTTATAAAACCCACCATCCATTTCTTCATGGATAACGAGAAAAAAAACTAACGTTTTAGTTCTCTAAATACATACAAATAAGGGACGTGTAGCAAGGTATTAAATAGGTGCCTCAAAAACACCACCTAGTGAAGTGTAGAGTACAGGACATTCATCTGCAACCTGACTGAATATTCAGTTGTGTTTGCATACACTGAATCTAATATGCTGATAAGATGCATGTAGGTATACCAACAATATACAAGTCAATTACAGATTATACACCAAAAAGAAAGGTAGTTGTAGTTGGGAATGTAATTTATGACTATTAGTTAAGACCCTGAAGATATTTAGTTTTACTCTGACAAACAATTTCAGTGACAGGGAAGTTACTACATCTTCAAAATACCAAGTCTTTGCTATAAAAAATGACCACATTGAGTTTGAGTGTGTACAAGCAGCTAGCTACTCACTATTTATTGTATTCCTCCCATTCTGGGAAAGGTAGGCCACCTCTGTTTGAACGACTACAGATAAATGGGAGAGTTCAAGAACAGGCCAGAAGCTTTTTAATAGATCTATCTAACAGAATGCCATATCCCAGAATTCCACTGTATACTATCCCCAGGGAAGACAACTTGAGTCTGGGAATATTCCCATATCCCCATCATGAAGATATGGGGGGAGGGAGGAGGCCTAAGTTCCATACCCTGAAATCTTAGATATACAGAACCACCTTTTAGATAAGATAATTTAAATAAATTGGCAGAATGCAGTAACACCACAACGTCTGAAGGGGGAGAGTCAAGAATGGAAGTTTCCAAGGAGAAGCTTGTTTATGCAAGACTTTGAGATTCTGAAGTTTCACATTAACTAAAAAGTCAATTTGAAAGTAAACTACCAGTGCTTTACTTTTTAAACAGGGGTTTGTAGAATGGAGGGAAATAAAGGGGAGGCTGCATAAGAAAGGGTGAAAAAAATCCACTATGCAGATACCTGACTAGTTTAGAAAGCCAAAAGGACTGAGACCCACAGAAAATAGTCATGTACAATGTAGTGACATCGTAAAGCAGTGTCCCAAATAGGCTTGGAAATAAATTGGTAGTCATACCACATGTTCTATTTTAGCTATAACTACAGTTGACACACACAAAAAAAGAGACAGACAATCTCTTACCTAGTAATATCATAGACCATGAGAGCTCCTGCTGCTCCTCTGTAGTAGCTTCGTGTTACAGCCCTAAATCGCTCTTGTCCTGCTGTGTCCCAGATCTGCAGTTTAATTTTTTGGCCACTAACTTCAATTATTCTTGTACCAAATTCGACCCCAATTGTGTGGGGACAGTCAGCCATAACTGTCACAGAAAGATAAATCAGAGGTTCACATCTTTCTACTAGAAGTCTTCTCCCTCTTCCAGAGGAAGATTTTAGTAATGCCATCTTTCAATGGTCAATTGATAAATCAGAAAATTCCTAATGGAAGTTGCAAAAGTATGCATCATTGATGTGTTTGGCACTACAAGTTGAGTAACTGAGTCAGTTTAGATTGCTACAGAACCAACCCTTGGGGAAACAACTTTAACTTGAAGGTTTAGAGACACTAGCCATGACTTGAAAGAATTCAATGAAGTTTTTTATAAATTTCCAACAGATGGTTAAAAATGCTGCACATGACCATAGGAGTGATCATGCTGGATCACACCAGAGATCCATCCAGTTTAGTAACACATTTTGAAGACTTGCCTGTAACTGATGTTTGAGGAAGGTTTAGAAGACAGTTCTAGGATAATCTGTCAAGGGGGGGGGGGGGGAAATCTTCTTCCTAATCCCCATTAGAGATCAGTTTATGCCCTGTCTTTGTGCTCAAATTTAAGTTCTATTGCTTCAAGTTTATAGAACTTTTGAGGAATTACAAATACTTAAAGCATTCTCTCAGATAACATCTGATGGTCTTCTCTTCAAAAGTCAGGCCACATGCAAGAGATTGCTTGGTATTTCCAGTGTGAATAGGTTAATCAAAGGTAAGTCACTTTCGGAACCCTAGTTCTCACCACACAAGCACAGTTTAAAGCTGTGTAACTACTTTGCAAGCCCAAGGACATGGAAACTAAGCTACATTATCCATTATAAGTAAACTGCATGGAAAGGATAAGACAGTATTAACACCACTGAAGAAACTAACAAAGCTTCAGAACTGGGAAGCAACACTTGAGTCAATGCTTATGTACCACATATCTCTAACACAGAAGAGAAAAAGGACATTGCAGTTATAAAACAAGTGATATATATAGATATAGATATATGTATCTATATAGAGAGATATAGATATATACACACACACACACACACACACACACACACACACACACTCACTCCTTAAGGAGCATGTATCATGCAGATGCAGCAGCTGTGACTCGTGACAATCAAGCTATAAAATTAACTCCAGTGTTACTTAAACCTGTAAGAGGCTGCCTTTGATTTGTAGGCATTATATCCCACTTTGAATGTCAAAAGTACTAACTCCCCTCAAAGTGAGCTTTTGCATTCCAACAGAGACTCTACTCTCACTAAAGACCAATGCAAAAAAGTGTAGGAATATTTTTAAAGTGGGGTTTGTGATTGAAGTTCAGTTGCACACTTTCAGAACTCATCACGTAGCAGGATCTTTCCCAGCACCATGCCTGTTTCAGATGTATGCTTTGGGAATGCTATAGCCTTTATTTCACAGAAGTCACTCTCCAGACAAATGACCTGACAGCAGCAGACTATGCTAAATAACTATTTGCTTCTATCTTCATCATTCTGACTATGATTAGTCTACATATTTGCAATGGGTGAAGCACCAGAAGGAACTCATGCATGCTGGAAAATAGCTTTCAGAACTAGGGAAGCAGGAAAGAGGGAGGAAGCATACCATCAGTGAAAACAGAGGCTCCGAATGAAGATACTCACATTTCTTTTCTGTGAATTGGTGAAGTAAGCAGGACTTTCCTACACCCATGTCCCCTGTTACAGAAAACACAGTTACTGTACTGGTAACAATGGCTTCAATTTAAAAACATCTGACAAGGTTTACATTGAACACGCAAATGCCTTGCTGGACCATGCTTTGCTATGCCTGTATGCACAAGATGATGTTTCACAGTGCAGCTGGTAACAGTATTTTTCCCTATAGCTTTGTTCACAGGCATAGGGTAGTAGAGGTGTCCAAGGAATAAAGAAAAGGAAAGGAGTTCAGGTTACAGCGATATCACTATTTGATGTTTGCAAGGTCATACAGAAAGGTGACCCATTAGGCACTGAGTGGGAGAGATACCAAGGTTATTTGCAACTTTCAGAAGGGCAACAGAAATTTTAAATTCCATACTGACAGACATTAGAGCACAGACCTTTAATTATAAACATTTTACACCAGAAGGTAGGCATCTCCCAGTAGCTGAGCAAGTGCTACACGGTCATGTTAGTCCTGTATTAGGCTTCAGCACAATCATGGCAGTGTGCTTCAGGTAATACAGAACTAAATGGTAAATTGTTTTAAAGAGAACAATCAAGGATCTCATAGCAACCTTGATCTGCACACCTTTAAGGCAAAACTGCCCCCAGATTCATCTACATAAAACCCTTTAGAGTTGTATAAGCAACACAGTGAGCCCAATCCTACTGGGATAATCATAAAAAGACAAACAGGGCAGGAAGAAGCATGAGGAGATCATCTAGTCCAGTGGTTCTCAAACTTTTGTACTGGTGACCCCTTTCACACAGCGAGACTGAGACAACCCCCACTCCCCCATGAATTAAAAAACAAACAAATTACACAACACTTTTTTTTATATTTAACAGTATTATAAATGCTGGAGTGAAGCATGGTTTGGGTGGAGGCTGACAGCGCACGACCCTCCCCCCCCATGTAATAACCTCGTGACCTTCTAAGGGGTCATGACCCCCAGTTTGAGAACCCCTGATCTAGTCCATTCTCCTGCACTGAGGCAGGATTAAGTAAACCTAGGCCATCTCCGATAGGCATTTGTCTCTAACTGGTTTTTAAACACCTCTACTGACGGATTCCACAGCCTCCCTTATTAACTTGTTCTAGCATTTACCTATCCTCACAGAAAGTTCTCTCTAATATCCAACCTAAATCTCCCTTGCTGCAAATTGAGAGGATTACCTCTTGTTCCCCATATCTACCAAGGGTAGAACAACAGATAACTGTCCTCTAGCAACTTAAAGTTATTTGAATACTTCAGTCCCTCCTCAGCCGTCTCTCTTCTAGACTAAACATGCCCAAATTCTCTCTTTTCTTTGAAGGTCATATTTTCCAGGCCTCTTATTTTCATTGCTCTCTTCTAGACTGTCTCCAATTTGTTCACTTTTCATAAAAGTGTGATGCCCCAAAACTGGACACAAGTATGCACTGTGAAGCCTCAGGTTGCAGAGTAAAGCAGAACAATTACATTCCATGTCTCACGACACTTATTAATACACTCCAGCATGAGATTTGCCTTTTTCACAACTACATCATGTTGCTGATTCATATTTATGTTCCACTGTAACTCCCAGATCCTCTTATACGGTACTGCTGCCTACAATGGGGAAAACTGGTTGTTTTTGTGTATTTGACTTTTTTCTTCCTAGGTGTAGTGCTTTGCAATTGTCATTACTGAATTTCATCTCCAGTTCAGACCAAATTCTCCAATTTATCAAGATCATTCTGAATTCTAATTCTGTCCTCCAAGGTGCTTGCAACCCCTCACAGTGTGGTGGTATCTGCAACTTTTATAAGCCTACTCTCCATCATCCAAGTTGTTAATGAAATTGAATAGTACTGGATCATAGACACCCTTGCAGGACCCCAGGGATACGTCCATCCAGTCTGACAGCAAACCATTGGTAACTATTCTGAATATAGTCTTTCAACCAGTTGTGCACCTGCCTCATGGTCATTTCATTTAGATATTTCCCTAGTTTGCTTATAATTTTAAATGCAACAATATAGATAACCCACAATACTCCACACATCTCTTGTGGTCAAGATAAGTTTACTACAAGCACCTTAATTCTGACACTATGCAGTCAAAAGACACCCCAGGAGTGTACAGGCCTAGTGCCTGCAATCATGTGTCCTGAAGCAGCTGGACCCAGTGACTACACAGCTTAATCGCTCAGTTAAATTTTTTATAAATGAAAAGAAACAAAATTTGTTTTTGGTGCTGTAGGTTCCAAGTTCAACTGACAAACATGAAGATTTCCCTTCCTCCCCCCACACCCTAATCATGGCTCTTTCTGCTGCTGCAGTTGCACAAAAGTATCAGAAGAGCCACTTAGCCAAGGGAGGATTTCCCCAGCCTAGTCATTGCCATACCAGCCTTACACAGAATGTTGTAGGCTTTGGCATAAGGGGTATAATTAGGGTGAGCCGACCCTCCAGAGCTGCCCAAATTGCACCAAGTCACCAGAATTTGAGAGAATGAAGGAGGCTTAAAGCCACTGTAGCCTCTCTTCCCCCTAAGTTGCACTGCACGCATTCGTACCCATGGTAATTTGTATGTTCACATAGCTTTTTTTTATTAAATACAAGGTTGCAGTTTTAAGACAGGGACATTTAAGAGCAGCAGCATATTTTAGAGAGAGTTATAGAAATCATTACTCTGATTTAACCATACACTTGCATGTTTGCCTGTGCAATCCTGGAACTAGGCCACTCAGTGAAATCTAGCGGTATGAAGTACCTCACATGTATTTGTTACAATACTTCCTATAAAACTTTTTTGTAAGTATGAACAGGAAGTCTCCCACTGCAGGTACATAAATTCACTTCAGTTATTTTAGTCAGACTGTGACTGCAAACTAGTTTTTAGTTTTGTTTAATTGGAACTCTAAATACAGAGTGCACAAAAGCTTTCTCAGGCTGAGATGAACACGAATTGCCTAATAAAGACAAGCACATGCTACATTAGAATTAAAGACAACGGCCCAAATTCTGAAGTTTTCATCTAAAAGCAGAGATACACCTTTGTGCCTCCTAAATTCTGGGCTGTCTGTAGATTCATGGTAGGCAATACAAGTTAGAGCAGTTGTGGAGCTGATTTCAAGCATCTTTCCACATCCACGCAGGATGGCTTTCAAAAATAAATAATTTTTTTTAAAAAAAGGGATTTAAGAAGGCCCATTTTAATTTTATTTAAATTAAATACTCCCCCCCACCCTTTATTTTTAAAGGTATTTAAAAATTTAAAATTATGACAACCTATATTAAGTCCTAAGCTTACTATGATCTATTAAAGTCATATAAATAAAAAACAATCTTAAAGCAGTACACAATTGCTGCCAAAGCTTTAAAGAAAGTCAGTCTACTGAACTGGTAGAAGTCACTGGCCAAGAATCTGGAACCAGAGTTTGTTGAAGTGCTAAACCAACTTTTGACAGCATTAGCCTCTTCTGCAGGTGCAGAGAGGATGTTTTCTTCATTTCTGTCTATTCAACTAGTTCAGTTTTAAGTTGAGAAACCAATTGGAGTTGAAAAAGCAGGAAAGCTTGTTTTCTCTCTTCCCATCTATGAATAAAAATGAGGTGTGAGGATGAGATATACTAGTTATAAAATCTTGAAGGACATAGTTACCAGAAACATTCAATTCACTATTTTTGTTTAATAAAAATCAGCTTTAAAATGTAAAAATGTGTTTTAACAAGAAAAAAGTTCCGGTATCCAGCATAAGGTAATTTAATAAAAACAGTTTTACAATGTCTTATTTAATTTAATTCCAATTTTCACCAAATGCAGCAACACTAGTAAATTAATCTACCAAATAAAAATGTATCATTCAAGTTTCTAAAACATGAAAAACTAAGCATCTGAGAAGTGTTTTATAGTACATCTGCATACTTATTAAGCAATGATAGTTTATCCTCCTGGTCAGCAAGAGTACCACCAAATTATGCCAACCATTGAGAATCAACCTCTCTTTAGGGAAACTGACGGTAGAGATGCAAAACAAGATTAAAATCAATTTAAATCAGCAAGGAAGAAACACTGATTTAATTCATGATTAAAATTGGTGATTTAAGTCCATTCTCCCTTCAGCCACCTACACATGGTGGGAGGGGAAAAAAGCAAAGAATCTGGCTATCTTCAACCCTTTACACTGTGGAAGTATATACTGGAGACCAAGAATAGCCAAAAATGAGGGCTACAGTCACCCTTCGGGATTGACAAACATTTCAGTATTGTAAGATTACATCAGAATATAGCCCCACCCTGCTAAGGGAATGAATACTGAACTTGCACTCACTCCCTGCTCATAAACGTGTCTTCTCTTGGAAGAGTGTGTCTTGAGTGTAGTGCTTTCTGCGGAGACATGCCTGGTAGGCAGTGCTCAGAAAGCAAAGGTAGGTGGATTTCAGTAAATCGCGCATATTTACTATTCTAACTTTAACACACAATATTCCATAGATGAAGTTTTGTGGGGTTGGAGAAAAAGAAGAAACGATAGGCGATGCAAGGTGAAGTGTACATAATGAAGAACATTGCTCTAGATGCACACTTAACAGAAAGTTATCCTTTCAGTAGGAACTCACCCAGAGTTCAGATACAGACATTCTAAAATGTAAGCAAGCATCCATGTATATACATACGTATTTATCCCAACATCTGCTTTTAAAGTAAAAACATTTTTCAAGTTCATACTTACCAATAATGATGTACTTAAAGATGTAAGAGTAGTTGTAAGGTGCAGTTGCCATTGTGGCACTATAAAAAGAAAAGAAATAAAATAGATCAGCAATACAGATTAACCATTTAAAACCACCGATTTAGATATATCCCTTCTCCCTGAAGAGTATGAAATGAGTGCATGTTTTTTCTTGAACTACCCTTTTATTCCAATCTCAGATTTCTACTGCATTTCCATGCAGCCAACGGATTGAGATATGCAAGTACTCGGAACACAAGACATTCAGTAACAGGCCCTTCCATGTCATGTATTATGAAGCATTGTCTGCATTAGGGACCTTCCATGAACAAATTCTCACCAGTGCAAGTACTAGTCTAGCTGCTCCATAGAGAAGGCTCAAGCAGCTTCTGGCACTAGTGGGAGTGTATAATATAATACACTATAAGAGGGGTAGGCAACCTATGGAACGTGTGCCGAAGGCGGCACGCGAGCTGATTTTCAGTGGCACTTACACTGCCCGGGTCCTGGCCACCGGTCCGGGGGGCTCTGCATTTTAATTTAATTTTAAATGAAGCTTCTTAAACATTTTAAAAACCTTATTTACTTTACATACAACAATAGTTTAATTATATATTATAAACTTATAGAAAAAGAGACCTTCTAAAAACATTAACATGTATTACTGGTATGCGAAACCTTAATTTAGAGTGAATAAAGAAGACTCGGCACATCACTTCTGAAAGCTTGCCGACCCCTACGCTAGAATATAATCAGATTCTTTAGTGCAGATGGTTTGACAGAAAATAGGACATTCCAACTTCCACATTTGTAGAGAAGTCTCAATTTGACAATACAATGCTAGTTACAATTTAGAACACCTCTTTTGGAATCAAAGGAAGTCCCAAAAGCTTTTCTAAAAAAAAAAAAAAAAAATGCACTTTAAAAATTTAAACAAAAACATAAACATCATTTTGCCATCACAAATAACAATATACCACAGAATGTTTTCCAAAGATAACACTACAGATTTGCATATTTTAAGTCAGCTAACTTAGTTTATAGAGAAGGCTACTTCAGGCCCCATGCTCTGTTGAGTAAGAAGTCTAGACTTCCTACACCCAGACATTGAGAGACTTAAGCCACAAGTCAGATGTTCAGGAAACTGGTCAATAACTGTTGCTTTGTCAGCCAGACAGCAGTGAACAAGCCTCAATAATTTGACTACTTTTACATGATTAAGTTTCTTATATGAACTGATTTTATATCATATCAACCTGTTAATTAAAAATTTTCACTTAGTACACCATTTATAGTAAAGTTTAAGTAAGATAAGGTGAATTAATCTGGGAAGTCTAAATACATAGGAGTAAGGAATACTTAGTTCTGTCTAGCCTGACACACCAAGTCATTTCCATTATTTACCTTTAATATATGCAATTTTGGGATCCAAACTTAATTTATTTCAGATACCTGCTTAAAAACTGGAACTATAGTTCTTGTGAGTTTACCATTTATGTAGGACTCTTCTGCCTCACTGAAGCCTCCTTTTACTACTTCAAAATGCAGCTAGGTCTGAGTTCTAGTCCTGCTCCGATGTTTCCTTGGCAGCCTTGTCCCTTCACTAATTCCCTTGGTGGCACTTCTCATGCATCTTATTTGCTACCCACCCCAGCCACCAGTTTACAATGAGGATAGTGCTGCTCACCCACATGTTAAGTGCTATTTAGTGTCAAGTATTCTCATTAGTTCAACATCTTCTGTACTCACGCTCCCTTTTCCAGATAACCACCAGTTACATAGAGGTGCTCCCCTTTACAAGGGATTTGGATCTCTAGCCCACTTAAGTCATATTACAATTTAGTGCAACTTCACCTCACGAGACAGGACAAGTGTGTTTATTTATTAAAAGAATCAGTCAAGTAAAATCAATGGGGAACACTATAGAAGTGCTGACAGTTCAATGGCATTTTGATAGATAGATAGACACACACACTAAACATTTCTTCTTACTCACCTAAAAAGGAAACTAATCCAAACCAATGACCACTCAAGGTAAGGAAAAAAGCCTGAGTTGACTATCTGTAACAGGAACTGCATACAGTGTAAATCCAAAAAAAATTGGTGTGGACAATAGTTTAGAGCACAGCAGGAAGGACAGGAGGAAGAGACTCCAGCAGGAACTTTTTTTTTGGGGGGGGGGGAGGGAGGGGGAGAGAGAAAGAATAATTTAAAGGTCTTAATGTGTGCCAGGCAAGATATGGCAGTACTAGTAACTTCCCCCTTCCCCAGTTGTTTTATTCAGAGGAAGCTCCCCTTTCCCCTCTGTCCAACCAGACAACACTTCTCTACCTCTCTCGGGTCTCTCGAATTAGGCTATTTCCACTCCATGTACCCCAAGCAGCTAAGCAAATCATCTAAAACAGGGGTTCGGGACCCCTCAGGGGGTCGCGAGATTATAACATGGGGGGGTCGCGAGCTGTCAACCTCCACCCCAAATCCCATTTTGTCTCCAGCATTTATAATGGTGTTAAATATATAAAAAAAAGTGTTTTTAATTTATAAGGGGCGGAGGGTCGCACTCAGAGGCTTGCTATGTGAAAGGGGTTACCAGTAAAAAAGTTTGAGAGCCACTGATCTAAAACATCATATGTTAAATTCTATTAGGCCTAAACTAAGCCTAGATAGCCCAAAGGAGTTTTTCACAAAAAGTTATTCTGGTAATGTAATAGCAAGGTAAGTTTCCATCATGAGATGCTCCTCAGTAGCTCAGCGCGCCTTTGATACTATTGGGGGGCGAGGGATGGGAACTGGAGAGGAAATGATGGTCAGGACAATAGTTTTCATCCCCTTCCATCCCAGACTGTTGTTCTCAGAACAAGCCATGGGATCTTTAGTTCTCCCTCTAGAGACTGTATGAAAGCAGTGCAAGACAGTAGTTTAGCAAGGACAGTACTTCTTGCTGCTGTACTGGGTAGAAGAGCAACTGTGGGAGTCAAACAACCCACTGATGTAGGGCTGTAACTTCAGCATCGAGCTTTTTCCTTCCACATAAAAGGCTCAAGTTCTTTCAAGCTTACACCACCAGTTACTGGATGTGCAGTGATACTTCTTGCTATATTCCTTAAGATCATATTTAGAAATAAAGATTACTTCAATTTCAGATGAATGTTAATACTCCAAGTACATAAAGAGTTCAACGTCAGTGCAGCTTTTACAGTGTGGACACACCCTGATGCTGCAGATTTTCTGACTGCATCTTCCAGGTTTTATATGCTGGAAAGGAAGCAGAATGAGTCCCAAGAGCAAGACTATTCAGTATCAGAAATATCTTAACAGGTTTGTTGAACTAACAAGATCAGAATAAACTTAAGTTTGGCTCCTGCTTTTTCTCCCATTATAATATATAGGGACAATATAAAGAATTCTCTATCGACCTAGATGCATCTATATTGGGGGTTAGGTCGACCTAACTACGGCACTCAGGACATGAAATTTCACAGCTCTGAACAACTTCGCTAGGTTGATCTAATTTAAGTATAGATCAGGCCTCAGGCTTTTGCCAACATAGTGATGTCAATTTGGGGTGCAACTCCCCCCCCCCCACACACACACACACACACTTCTAACAGATATAACCATGCCACCAAAACGATTAAATTTAGACTAGACCAAAGAAAGATTTAAAAACTAGAAGGAGTTACAACTTTAATTGTGTGGAGCATTCATCAAGAATAGATATTTCAGAAACAAAGCCTAAGTCAAATATTTCTTGATCAAAATATTCCTTCAGATTTTTAAAATTCAGTTTTAATAAGTTAACACACACAAAAGCATTTCCTCAATCTACATTTGTGCTATATCACCACTTCAAAAAAAGTCTATGAAACCACAAAACTTTCAGATGCACACTGTGAATCACTGTTACACATCAGTAACACTACAAGTGTCTAATAGTACACGACAGAGTAGCTAAAGAATTGCATTCCAATTAATACTTCTGAATGTACAATTGAGATATTAAGTTTAAGATCTTAATGACCACTCGAGCCTAGCAGATCAAATTTAAGATCAAGCCAAGTCCAGTTAACCATTTCCAGATGCCTGAAAGTGTTTTGGTCCAATACAGGTAACTCCAATTTGAAATTAGCATCTAATTTGTTGAGGGGTTATATAATCAGTTTTATACAACTAAAAGTTAGATGTTCTAAGTAGCGATAAGAGTGCCCTCCTAGGCCACTATCTTATCTCCAACAGTGGACTATCAGATACTTCAAAAGCTGTAAAAATCCCTATGAATGTATGTTGATAAAACATGCTAGGGGGAAATCTTAATCCCAAGCAATTAAGCTATTTTAAGTATATCAAAAGATTTGTCAGGCGATAAGTTTTATCCTAATAAGATTAACTACCAGTATCAATCATGATGTCTAATCCTTTATTCCTACTACACTCGTTGCCAACCAACATAAAGACAGCATTCCATAGATTAGTTTTCTTTTATCGTGTGTTATGCCTCATGTCCCCTGTTTAGTTAGTACTAGTCTTTTTAATGCCATTCAAAAGACTTTCCGCACCTCTAGTCATTTTCATTGCCATTCCCAGGACCTCTTCTATTTCTACTATGTTCTTTGGGATGGCGTAAACTAGACTTCAGACTACCAAAGGACTAAGTGTACCAGCAATTTTATAGAACGGCAACATGTTTTCAAGATTCTCTTCCATCTTAGAAAAGAGGCTAAAGGGGAGGAGGGCAGATATTTGTGATTTTATAAACCTCCATCATGGTATGGAGAAAGTGAATAGGGAATTGTTATTCACCCCTTCACCTAACACAAGAACTAGGGGGTCACCCAATGAAATTAATAGGCAACAGGTTTAAAACTAACATAAGTACTTCTTAACAACACACAGTTAACTTGTGGAACTCATTGCCATCGGATGATGCGAGAGCAAAAGTACAACTGTGTTCAAAAAGAATTAGATAAGCTCAGAGAGGATATATCCAATCAATGGCTATTAGACAAGATGCTCAGGAATGTGGCCCTAAAGCTCTGACTGCCAGAAGCTGGAAGGGAAA